GATGACATTGGCGGGATTTTCTTTGCTGCTACAGTGAAACCATTGGGAAGGCCTGGTATGCTGCTGGATTTCGGTGACACGGTGTGCTACAAATGGTTCCAACTTGGTCACTGAACTTTTTATCCAGTTTAGTGCCACAAGCGAGTCCGTCCAAAAGGCAACAGTGGCCTGTTAAAAAAAAGGGACCTTTTGCACGTAGCGTATAAGCCGCACCGCGATAGTGCATGCCAGGAGCTCCAGGTGTCGAAGTGATACCAATTTCAAAGGAGCAAGTCGGCCCTTACTGATCAAAAGTTGCGTGAAGCACGTTTCGGGTGGTGAGTTGAATCGTACGTAAATGCAAGCGCCGTATGCTCTATGACTGGCATCCGCGAAGACCTGCAGCTCAAATAAAAGGTTTATTTTTGTCTCGTAAGAATACATATCGTGGAATAGTGGCGGACGAGTTGGACAGCTCAGAAGACCAACTATTCCATTCTGCCTGTTCACCTTCAGGCATACTGGCATCCCATGCAAGATTTTTCTTCCATAGATTCTGGAATACCATTTTAGCCTTCATGGTGAATGGAGTGAGGTAACCCAGTGGGTCGTATACTCTGGCCAAGGTTTTCAGTGCTGTACGTTTGGTAGCCGGCTTTCCGGCAGCAAACATAGCTGCGTGCTCAGTGCCCAGGATAAGGTGATCGCCTGAATGTTCCCAGGGAACACCTAAAACCTTCATTAGATTGTCTCCAGCTTCATTTTCGATGGCGCAGCTGTCACGCAAGAATCTTTCTTTCAACTCGTCGCAATTTCAGGACCACTTGCGAATTTCCATGCTTGCCTCGTAAAATATTTGTTTCGTTTCTTCATATATCTTCATTGCCGCCTGCGTGCTGGGTAGCCCGATGACAAGATCATCTACGTAGAACGCATGCTCCAATGAGGCTAATGTTTTAGGATAGTTCTGCTGACAAGATAACAGGTGATGACGAATTGTAGCCGCCAAAAGAAATGGGCTTGATGCAGCATCAAGCGGTACTCTGGTCATCCTTCAAGTTGTAATCGGTGGCATGGGCTCTTCCTTAATTGGCCGTCGTTCCAGCCACAAAAACCTCAGAAGGTCGCGATCTTCGGACCGAATCAACAGCTGCAAGAACGACAGGGTGGCAGCGAAAGTTCAGCAGTAGCTGGACAATGTCTACGCCGAGTTTGATGCCCTTCAATAGGACATCGTTGAGGCAGGGACAACCAGCTTCATGTGATGACGCATCAAACACCACTCAAAGCTCCGTTGTGACGGCGTCCCGACGAACTACTGCGTGATGAGGCTAAATTATCTCGACTGGCTGCTCTTCTTGCACCTTCTCAGCGTGTCCATCATCGAAATATGCGATAATAGCCAGGTTGTATTTCTCTAGTAATGTTGGCTGCTCTCGGAAACGGTTGATTGGACCTTGTAGTCACTGTTCTGCCAGTCGGCGATTACTGTTTCCGGCTGGTAGTCCTGGCTGTTCCACCATGAGCGGCACTTGATAACGTCTACCTTGCTTCGTTATGTAGCGCTCAAATGCGGAGAGGTGCGCGTCGATCTCCAACGGTTTTCAATAGCTTCCACCGATTCCGATTGGCATCAAGACGCCACATCAATGATACGTCTGTCTGGTGGAGAAGAATTGCGGCTCAATATGAACAGTGCGCTAGACGGGTACTGGATGTCCGACTATAAGGGTCCTTGTACCATCCATCCAAACGTTGTTTCAATCGCTGTTAGGGTCTCGTTGATGCGGTCAATCTTGCCGGTGGTCACCTTCCAATAGGCGTCAGATCCTATCAGCACGGTGATGTCGCCTTCTTGCCACGTATTCAATTGACATGCGTCAGCCACATGGTTCTCTTATTTGAGGAGCGTCTGCAAGATATGGTGCTCTAGCGGTGGACTCGTTACGGAGCAGATCTCTGGAATCGTCAAGGCTTCTAACTCCACTTCAGCATCGCTAAATCGACTGCGCAGCCGCACGGAGACACGGTCGGCGCAGAGTCGCTTCTGAGCCTTGGAGTTTCCAAACGTCATTATTGAAAGTTCTTCCCTTCCAATGACAGAACACTGAAGGATTCTGGCCGCGTCTGCGCGAATATAGCTGCGCTGGCTACCGCTGTCCAACATAACCCGAACAAGAAGGCGTCGATTTCCGGACCTTGCTCATATGCGCCCCGTCTGCAATAGTTCAGTCGTGCATCCGACGTGCGTGCTTTGGGCAGTTGTAATGGTTCGAAGTTTTGGCGAAGGGGGTCTTTTCAATGCAATGGAATCTGCAGCAGGCACTGGGTCCTGGACGACGGATCTGGACAGGTCAGGTCGCACAGAATGGTCAGGTGGCGGTGACGGCAGAAGCCACATGTGAGACTGATGGCCTTTTTGCATGCCCTTGCGATGTGGTTGCGAGTACCGCAGCGAAAACAGCAGTTGTTATTCCGTAGCATTACTCGCCTTTCGCCCTCTGACAGATTCGCAGTGCAGGACATAATGCTGTGCTCTTGGCTGTTGCAAAGTGGGCAGACTTGATTGATCGATGCAGTGGAACCAGTAAGAGCTGCAGCCGATGGAATGAATTCCATGCTGTCGGGGCTTTCTGTCGCCATGCTGTCTCCACCTTTGTAGGAGTAGCGACGTGGTTGCAGGCGACCTTCCTCTCGCACTTCTACTTGGATGCGAAGAAATGTCAACAAGTCCTTCGCTCGGCGCAGTCTGTGTTCGGAAGTCTCCGTCCCACTATTGACGAGGTCATCCTCTTTCATCCTTTGTCGGTGCATGATAGCCAGATCGTCTGGCAAGCAGCGCATCGTGACCCGATTCAGTACCACGATGTATTGTTCCGGGGACACGCCAAGGCCTTCTAAAGCGCTCACTCGGAACCTGTCCCTGTCTTTCCGTCTGCTTCAACGTTGTGCGCTTCCATTTCATAATTAGTCATGTATCACCAACTCGCCCAATCAACCATTTTGTCACTCGGAACAGCACGTTGTCGTGAAGGGTGCGAAGTTTAGCAACTTCTGATGAGCTCGCGGTCAGCGGAGTTAGGCCTAAAGACTGCTCCGATGACACGCCCTGCTTGTAGACCGCGCACCCGCTCGTAGTAATCTGATCGTGAATCCGCTTACAGCTTTGTTGCTTGCGAAGAAGCATGTCGCCTTGAGTGCACTAGTGCGTCGTTCTTGCCCGCAGTCTCGTCGTCAGCGGAGTTTAGGCCAAAAACGACCCCGATGACTCGCCACGCTCGTAGATCGCGCACCCGCTCGTAGTAATCTGATCGTGCATCTGCTTACAGCTCCTAATTAAAGTGTAATTATATCGTAAGTGATTGTCGAGTCGTGAACACGTCATGAAGTAGCGATTTTCGAGAGCCATGTCCTCGCGACGCACAAGCAGCAGACGACTATCTACCGGAGTGAGCATCGGCCCAATGGCTAGGAGAGTTGAGGCAACATGGCGGCCCCAGCCAATAGACCTCTCCCTGTTTGTAAACAGTGTGACGTCACTGCAGGCACCCCGCCCACCATACCCTCTCTCAGAGCAAGTGCTGGTTGGCAAGAAAGCTTCGCCGGCGGCATGTTTTTGCATAGCAGAGCTGCCTGTCTGCATTCCTTCGACAGGAATATCTACATTGCTATGTTCTAAAGTCAGAGCATTTGAAAGAAGGGGGTCGCGGAAGTGTGGAAATCTGCTCGTCGTAGTTCGATGGATGGAGAAACTTCATTTAGAGTACCGAGAGACGTGACTATGACTAGCACGAAGTGGGCTTCACCCACGTAGGTGGCAGCCATAAAAAAGTGATCTTTTTCGAAAGCAAACGTTTTGAATGCACACGGTGGCTGGTACTTTGAGAAATATTTGCGTGGCATGGATATAAACTTATTCGATTTCGATTGTGGCATTTGCAATGCAGTTCTAAACGAGGTACAGCGTTGGCGGCACCATGGTTTTGAGCTGCTGTACGCGACGTCACGGATAGGATTCTCGCTCATTGCACAAAGTATGATCGGTAATGAATAAAAAAAGAAACACTTCTTGCCGTGTGTTAGGCTGAGGTTAACCTATCCTTGTGAAAATTAAAGTGAAATTATGCCGCTGCATTTCTCAATAACTCAGTGAAAATTCATGTAATGTAAAACCCAACAACTTAATCATGTATAATATTATCTGGCACAGTTACCTTGCTGCATTTGGCACCTATAACGTGTTTTCGTACCTATATTGCTCTTTTAAACCTGATACACAAACTTTTAATGCGCATTGTCTCTTCATAAAGATCGAGCCGTAAAAGTACAAAGTAGATAAGAAACGAAAATCTCAGCTGTTCCCATAACACGTATCAGGTATCCGATAATACAAGTTATAGCAGTAGTGAAGCGTATGTATGCAGATTCGGCAACGCTACAACATGCTCATAGCTCATGCGTAGTCGTATATATCACCCGGAGATTGTGCACTTATTTTTTTGCACGCCGCGCATATGCTGAGATGTACCCACTCCCACATGCGTCACACATGTCAAATGTTTCTTTACTTTGACTGAAATGTCGGATCGTAAAGTTCCATCGACAACGGGTACTACAACCGGCCCAAAACGAATACCAGTGTTTTCGCAAACAAGACTCATCACGTTATTCACACTGCACACACCACGCACAATATTCCCAGTTTCACCGTCCGTAAGGATGAACCAATATTGTCAATGCCTTTCAACGTACACTACACGCCACAGTCAACACTACATTTTTGAAGACGATGCCGCTGTTCAGAAAAAAGTTTGCAGAAAAAAGTTTCGCTACCTAGGAGGGTGAAATTAATTTTCCATAGCACTTCTGGGTGGTTTTCAGTGTAGGATTTTTAAAATCAGATAGACAAAGGGTTCCAGAAACTGAAAACTTGATTTAAGAAAAAACGATTTTTTGCCATTTTTTGCGATACCAAAGCCGCGTCCCTCCTTAACCGGCACATTGCGTTTGCGTCCCCACAGCCTTCAGCAGCGCAGCAGATGCTGAACCTGGATAAGGCCAAGGAGGAGGGCGGCAAGGACGAAGGAGGGGGCATCCCTGCCCGTGGGGGCGCTGCAAATGCCACGACCATTGGGGGCGACGCCCTGGGCCTCAAGATGGACCAGTATGCTAAGAAGCAGGCGTACCTGCGCCACAAGGCGGCCGCCACGGTGTCGCGTGAGTGGACCGAGCAGGAGACCCTGCTGCTGCTGGAGGCCCTGGAGATGTACCGCGAGGACTGGAACAAGGTGTGCGAGCACGTCGGCAGCCGCACCCAGGACGAGTGCATCCTGCACTTCCTCCGGCTGCCCATCGAGGACCCCTACCTGGACGACCCGGCCGCCGGCGGAGGCGCCCTGGGTGCGTATCCTTGCTTTGTCCTCGTTTCATGACCTATGATTGGTCTTTCTCTGCCGCTGCCTGATTGGTTGACACTAAACATACCTAAACGTGCAATTCAATGAGTGCATTTTTAACAACCAAGCAGTTTAAGGGGGCAGACTCATTTTAGACACTTCTTCTTTTTAATTTCTCCATTGATCATGATAGAACTGCACAGGCTTGTGCAGTTTTTTTCTGCTGATTTCAAATATGCAATTACTTTTCTTGTAACTCATATCATTCCCAAGATAATGCAAGTTCAACCCCCATTGTTTAAATCCTCATTAGAAAAAAAGTGCCTAATTAAAAGCAACATTTAAGATATGGCAACATAGAATAATGATTGAAGTAATTTATTTTATTTGTCTTTTTTAGTTATTTTATGGCAGATTGAATTTCACACTCTGAAAAAGCAGTTGGCATGCTATTACAATTTTGATAAGTATTTAATTGAAAAGGATTGTTTTCTAAATTTCCTTTTCATACTTGCATTCTAGGCACATACAGGTTTCTACAGTCGAACCCCGCTACAATGAAACTGAAGGGGCGCAGCAAAAATTTCATTGAAGCGAAAATTTTGTTGTAGTTAAATTAATAAAAATATAGCCGATCTGAACTAGCAAAGCAAAGCAACGTTTATTCTCGAAATTCAAAAAGTGTCCGCTGCCTTTTATTCTATCCCAGCAGTGTCGCGACGCTATTCTCACCCATGCATAGCGAGGCCAATTTGAAAAGCACGCTAAAACAATGACTACAACCGCTTTCGTGAACGAACCAAACAGTTGCATTACCGTAATTACTCGAATCTAACGCGCACCTTTTTTCCGGTTAAGCGAGTTCATAAATCGCATGCGCGTTAGAATCGAGTACGAACAAAAAAATTACGGTCAATCTATTGCCATCGCAAATCCAAGATGGCCGCCCCCTACGTGCGTCGGCATGGTGCACGGAGGCTTCCTCCGTGGCATGGTGCGTCGGCTATTTCTGCCTATGTGTTTACCATGTGCGACACTTCGTACGTGTGCTGAGGAGTTCGTCATCTAGTAGTGCATTAGCATCGACGACGTGGAAGGGCCGACTCCAAAAACTCGAGTGCACCACGATGCCGCTTTTAAAAGAAAAGTCATCGCGTGTGCAGAAACGGACGGAAATCGGGCCGCATCGCGGTCCTTCTCGAAACGTGCGTGCGGGACCGGCGGAAACAAAAGCAGAAGATTGTCGACAGCAAAGCTTCACGCAAAGGCTTCAGTGAACCACAGCAGGGTCGGTTTCCGCAAATTGAAGAGCTGCTCCGCGAGTATGTGCTTGAGGAGCGAGCGGCACAGCGGCCCATGACAGAACTGCTCCAAGTGCGGGCTATGCAATTAGTCTTAGAAAAAAGTCTAATGCGGAGCCTGTTTAAAGCGAGCAGGTGCTGGCTAATTAACTATATGAAGAGGAAAGGCTCTTCCCTCCGAAGGGGAACATGCATATGCGAAAACTTTTGCGGAGAAGTACGATGAAAAGCTTTACAGTTTTCAGAGGTTCGTCCTAAACTTGCGGCGCAACAACGGCTACCTGCTTGGGCAAATCTGGAATGCCGATCAGACGCCTCTTTACTTCGACATGCCTGGCACCACAACTGTCGAGAAGGGGGCGAAGCAAGTTCGCGTGCTGACATCGGTCCACGGTAAAACTACAGTGACGGCAATGCTCTGTTACACGTCAGATGGGCACAAGCTTCGCCCGTACCTCATATTTAAATGGAAAACAATCCCGAAAGGAATCGTTTTTTCGAGTGGTGTGATCGTGCGGGCCAGCAAAAACAAATGGGTGCGCGTTGCAATCGATGTCTTACGTTTTTTTTTTTTTTTTTTCGCGGTGGAAATCGGGTGCGCGTTACAATCGAGGGCGCGGTAGAATCGAGTAAATACGGTAACACGTTAACACCAGCAGCTGTCTGCCGTCAAAATGCCGAGGTAACAGCAGGGTATCGTGGAGCGGTGACTTTTGCCTTATTTTTTGCCATTCTTATCATCCATCAAGAGACAATAGGATTGGGCGTGTTGGTATAACATAATAAAGAGTGCTTACCAGCGCAAACGACAGGGCAGGAGGGGACAGGAGAAGAGACAAGACAGAGCGCTGAACTGCCAGCAATTTATTTCTTGCGAAGGTCTTCGCTTTTATACAGTTACCAGTCGCAATAGTCATGTGCGAAACACAATGACAATGCATAAGTACATCACACCGACAAGCAAAGGAACAACTTTTTCTTATCGGTGAGCGCGACAGAAGGGGTGTTAACACAAGCATCTTTCAATGAGCAAATCTTTTCTGCCTCTATGATCTCGTGTGTGCTGCGATCCCTGCATCTAGCAACAATAGTACACTGAAAATATTGGCCAGCAGCCACATGTGCTGCAGTGACCAGAAAATGTTTCCATGGATCGAATTAGTAAAAATATCAGCTTTTCGTCCCGCTGGAGCTACTTTGTGTGGATAGAGCTTGACTAGGTAACGACTCAAGATACGTGCACGCGCGATTGCGGCGTGTGTAGAAGCGCATAAACTTCCAGGAGAATAAATTTTCCATTCTTAGAAGACATCAGTCTCGCTCTGCTTTTCTAATCGTCAACGTAGGGGAACGCAAGTTTATATTTTGCCCTCGTGAATATTTGGTCAACGCTTGATTCGAGTAAAAGCGTTCTTTTTTCTTTTAGACGAAATCGGAATGTCGTAAGATGCGGGGTCGGCGTAAAACTGTGTCGTTTAACCAAGGTTTTTATTACATTATTCTTATGGGGATTTTACCGGGACCTAACCGATTCGTTGTAAAATGCGAGTCGTCTCAAAATCGGGGGACGTATAATCGAAGTTCCACTGTACTCAAAACCACATAGTCTAGCACCAGGCCATTGAAGAGCTCAACCACGCATATGTGGGACGAGTGCCCGCGCGTGATCCACGAGCTGTCGTACCAGACTACAATACTGTCGGCATAGTCAATATGCAGCTCCTTGTACAGCTCGCAAAATTCACTCGCCCATCACGTTTTCGGCCGCACGGTTAGCTGCAGGTGTTGATTTCTGCTTCACATATCCCTGCAATGTTTTTTTGTGAAGTCCGCGGTGAGATATATTCATGGTCGAAAATATATCATTCATAGCTGCTTGACGGTTCCCAGTAGCCTGCATGGCTCGAGCGGCAAGAATATTGACGGTGAACGGGTTCACTCTCTGTGTGCCATTCACTTGCGGAGAGCTCCACGCTTGCGCGATGTCACAGTTCATGCAACGCGCACACATTTTCACTGCAAGGCCGTATTGCCTGTCCTGTCTGTAAATACTGACGCTTCCATTACAAATTTTACATTTAATGGCATCAAGCAGTTGACCGATGCAGCCAAGATCGGCAACAAAAAAACTTGCCAGTTCTTCGCTTGGCTTCAGGGGAGCGGCACCAGTTGGTGCGTCGTTCCTCAAAAACTCACATTTTCTCTTCAACGCGGCGGTCGATGCCAGTTTCTGCAGCCTTGCATCGACCTTTGTGCGCCTTACCTGCAGCTCCGATTCAGTTAGCAAAAGTTGTGTCATGGGGAATGCGGCCGCTGCTTTGTGAAGCGTAGGTGGCCAGTTGACCCACTAGGCCTAACTCCCTGTCAACTGTCTCGGGTGCCTCGGGGATTCTTTCGCTGTCGGCGGACGAGATGGTGGTCGTGGAATCTCGATGTATGCAATGTTCATCTGCACGTTTCGGTGATGGATGTGCCGGCGATGCGTCATGTTTGGGAACATTGCAGACTGGTGAGGCCATCAGGCTTGCGTCGGCAGCATCGGCGGGCGGCCCATTCCGTTCTTCCTTGACGCTACTCACCAAGAGACGCGCCTCAAAGTTGTTTGCGTAAACCTTTTTCTTTTTTTACCGAACTTATGACAGGTAGGAAACTTGCGGTGATCCAGGCATTGCAACAGCTTCGATCGCGAGCACGCTAGCCAAAGCACAGGCGCTATGGCGGCACAACATGTTGTTTGCGCGTTGACGTGCCGAGCAGACGATGCAAGCCCAATCAGCCAATGAAGTGGCCACCTCGTGGTCACGTGCATTCAACAACCAATAGTTTCGTGTACTTTGCTTTTTTTCGGTTGCTTTTTTTTTTTTCAGCAACCAATCAGCGGAGCGAGGCTGTTTGGGCAGCAATGGGAAGATAAAGAAACACGCTTTCAAATGAGACCAAGATTGTGGCTATGGCATTCGGCAAACGGTAGCTCTGCGTCGCGAAAAAGTGGTGTTTTTTTGTCGGATTCTGTGCAAATCGAGCTCGAGAGTCCTCTTTGTAATGATATAACAAGTAAATTATCCCTTTCTGGAGTCTGAAAATTGGCAGGCAGGTGTAAAAATGCTTGCCGAATTCAAAAATGCTATTGAGAAGAAAAAAAGTTGCTATTTTTCGGTCCCAAAGAACCGTCCGCCCCCTTAAGGGGGGACGTGGCATTGAAAATTATCTTTGTTATTTATGAAGCTAAAGAGATGAAATTCAGCATGCAGATGTCATTTGTTGTGCTGATATCATAACTTAAATTGGTTTTGAGCTGTCTAATATAACTAATAATAAGTTATATAAGTCACATCACATGATAAGCTGTCATTGTCACCACAAAATTAATTAGCTTATTAGACCCAAGTTCGTCAAAAATTTTCATAAGGATATTTGCAAGAGTCCATTTTGTGCCATATTACTATTGGTTTATTTTTAATATTTAAGTAAGCACACAACTTTTTTTTCTGAAATGTCCTAGACATATTGTCTGACCAACAGCTTTTACAAAAAGCCAATTGCAAAAGTCTGTCTGATGTGCACACAAATATGGACAGCTTTACGGCACTCACCAATGTCTCAGAATCCAAATGCAAGAAACAGAATGGCTATCGCTTAATTTGTTGTGAAATGACACAGGGATGACTGACAACTGCTCAAAAAATGAAACCTCGCAAAATTG